TACTGAATCAGGGAGTCACATTCTAAATGAGAAAGCTTTAGCAGATGACCCCAGAACCATGCAACCTCTATCATCCTCTATTTGTATAAGCAAAATGGATGTATCACATCAACGAGAACTACCCACGTGAATCAATTAATAATCAATATATCACACACAAAAAGATGCTTCTGATTGGTATCATCTAAATTATGTCCAGAACTCCAGCTGCAAGAGAGCCTGAAAATGTGGTTTTTAGTTTGTCAACCTTTCATTCTAGAAAATTTGGAATATTTCTTTTAAAAAGCTGTTTTCAGTTTACCCAGTATCTACATATAACCTGTTTTTTTCATACTGGTATTTCCAAACAACAAAACAATCTCCAAAATATGCATATCTGTTTTAGTCCTTTAGTTATAGACTGGCAATTATAGGAGACATTCTGGAATGTCTAGTGTTGTATGGCATAAAATGACTAGTGTTGCAGCCGTATGCCTCCCTCTGTTTCCCCCTTCATAATTAGAATCAATTATGCCCACCAATATAGGATTAGCCTCTTTTTCTTAAGAAAGCCAGTTGATATTTCATCTTCCAATTAAATTTTTGTACCCCTGGAGGACACAGTCTTCTCTTAGATACTTAGGCCTCTGAACAAGCAGAGCCTAAAATTTCATGAGCAAGAAGCAAAATGTTATAAGTAGGTCATTTGATATAATTCTGAGAGATGTGATTCCCATGTCTCTCATTTTATTTTCAGGCTCCATGTATTCCAATTATGGAAGAAATATGTTGATCAATGGTTTAAAGTAAATAACACATCTGGTAAGAAAGCACCTTAATCCCACAAGGTATGTTACACATATACTGTCATAATGAGTCTTCAGTAGGCCATTCCATCATTGTATACAGCAACTGCTTCTGGATTGGTATTACCAGTGAAATCCCTTAAGCATCAACCTGATGCTTTACTTCTTTTGCTATAAAAATTAGCTATTTGGTCAGAAAAAGTATTGTGTGGGATACTGCAAATAATCTGTTTAGTAAGTCCTCTGACATTAGCTTTGTAAGCAGAGAAGGCAAATCCAAATCTAGATTGAATAATCCATTTCTAGCACAGAAAATTACTGCTCTTTCCATGATGTAAAGGGCTTAATATAATCTGTCTACCACCAAACTATGCAGGCATGATTCTCTGTTCCTTGCAGTTTGGGCAGTTAGTTGATATATAACCATATCAACTATGGTGGAAGAAAGTTGATGTACTTAAACTGATAGAGAAATCCACCTGTGCTACCATAGTCACTTTGTTCATTAACCTATTGAGCCAACACTGGAGTGGCTGGAGAAAGAGTTTCTCTCTCATCTAAACAAGTGACCATCATGTTCAGATTTTAAGAACCTTGTCTCAGACTGAGACCTTTTGGAGAATAATCACAAAGGACACATGCCTCAGCCTCTGGGGGCATCCTCAAATATTTGTCATCAGTACTCAAATCTTTTCAACCCATAGTCATTAGCTATTGCCCATGATTGAGACACACACACACACACACGTTCGTCTATCTTTCATTCTTTGATTCTAGGCAAAATAGACTATTAGGTTTATCACTGTATGTTCTGCCCATTGGGAAGATTTCCTTCTCCTCTGTCTTCCCTTAACACCCCAGAGCAAAGCTATAATGCTTCAGCAGTCAGTCTACTTCCAGCTCATGCTACATGTCATGAGAAATCATCTTTACACAGGATTCATTATTTTTCTATCTCAGGTCATATGAAACTTCCCGTCCAGTCCTAGATGTGGGTTAAAGGAAGAATGGAGTGCATCAGAGGAACCTGCACAAGCCTTAGAAATATATATTATACTTTCATTTGAGGATGGAGCACTGCTGATTATACCATAATTTATGACTTGGTGAATCAGACACTGCCAAATTCATGAGAAAGAGCTCAGTTCATACAGATATCTAGGAATTTTATGGTTAGATATCTGGTCCCTGTTAGAGTCTCCTAGCACACCAACAGCTGTTCTTCAAAAGGAGAATGGTTAGTTACCACAGAGAGTATGGCATGTGTGAATTCTGCTGGTAATTGTGTATGTGTGTGCATACGTATATGTGATTGATATATATATATCTCCACATGTACATACACAGTCATGTGCCACATAACATCATTTCTGTCAAAAATGAACCACATATATGGCAGTGGTCCCATGAGATTAAAATAGTGTATTTTTACTCTACTTTTTCTATGTTTAGATATCTTTAGATACACAAATACCTACCCTGGTATTATAATTGCTTACAGTACTCAGTACAGTATTACACTGTACAGGTTCATAGCCTAGGAGCAATAGGCTATGGCACACAGCCTAGGTGTGCAGTGGGCTATAACCATCCACGTGTGTATAAGGTAAGTGCACTCTATGATGTTCACTCAACAACAAAATTTCTTAACAATGCATTTCTCAGAATATGTGTGACTACATTTTAAGTTAAGCCAAGTGTGGCTATATATGTTTATATATGTATATATGGATTCTATACTCAGAAATTAGAAAAATAACCATAGCATATACACATAAACCTACCAAAAATACTCTGACGTAGACATTGGCTAAAATTGCATTTCTCACTAGAACCTATAAGCCTCCCATCCTGACAAGTAGACCATAGTGCCAGCTTGGTCCCCAGGGATTAGTGTTATTTCAGAACTAATATCAATAATTGCTGAAAGATCTGAGTATTTTTTTTTACTCCGTACATTATTACCTTATTATCAGCAATGGGAGGAAGATTTATGGTATCTGCTTGTGAGATGTTGGTAGTCTATCTTCAAGGATCATTAGTGAACTGAAAACTTGAATTTGATGGTGGACTAGAAAGAATAAAGATTCCAGAAGTCCCTTGGTGTGACAAAGAAGGAATAATCCAAAGTCACAGAGAGAGCAATGATTCCCTTTCATTCAAGAGACTCATCCATGTGCTGACAGGTCTGGGAATTGGTGAGAGGTCATGATTATCATGATATCTCATTTCACGTGTTTGTTCACAGACCTTGAGTTTTCAGTGAGCTGCCCATCTATTTTATTCCTAGGGCCCCAAGATCAATAAGCCACACTAAACATTTATGTCAGCTGTAGGGTAAATGCACCTGATAGCAATAATTTAAGCATATCCTTAGAATGACCCTGTATGGCAGATGCCCCTGAATGTGTGTTCCAAGCTTGGCAATCTGGAAGTGGCCAGCCCAGAGATTTGTTCCTTGTCTGTGAGAAACATATGTGCCCCTAGCTCATCCCTTGCAACACAGGACTTATAGGGGATTGAGGCCCTGAGTTTTGGATTAAGTGAAGGTTGCCAGGTGGAGATCAGAGAGGAAAATGGTGTTAAGTGAAAATGCTATACAAACTACATGCTGTTTGCAAGCAGTGGCAGTTTTCCTACCCATTCTGTCATCACTGGGTCGTGTGATTATCTTGTCCAGCTCGCTGCTGCTGGACTGTATGTAAGGTAGATAACTTGTCTAAGCAGTCCACTGCCACTGGACTGTATGTAAGGTGGACATCTTGTCCAGCGTGCCACCACTCGATCATTTCTGTAAGTAAGGTAGTTCTGTTCAGCTCACCACCACTGGACTCCCCTGCATGTAAGTCCCTAGTGAAACCCCATGTCTCATTTGCTGGCTCTGGGTCTTTTCTTCAGCCTCTTGAACCTGGTGCCTTCCCTATTGAGGTTAATAAGAGTTCAGCACAACACCATCAAACCACCCTTACCCTTCTGCCTATCAAGGTAACTCTGCTTAGGCTTTCTGATGTGGTTGTTGCCAGAGTTGGCCTTCATTACATAAAATTCTACATCCCCATTAAAGTTGTGATACCATTTGAATGGCAACATGTCTGTCTTTATTTCTAGCCTATAGAAAACAGTCATATCAAAAAAACTGCCTTCATCAATGCATTTATCAATGAGTTTTGTTTGTTGATTTTTTGTTGTTGTTGTTCTTTGTTTTTGAGACAGAGTTTCGCTCCTGTCACCCAGGATGGAGTGCAGCAGCGGATCTCTGCTCACTGCAACCTCCACCTCCGGGGTTCAAGTGATTCACCTGCCTCAGCCTCCCAGTTAGCTGGAATTACAGGCATGTGCCACCACACCTGGTTAATTTTGTATTTTTAGCAGAGGCAGGGTTTCACCATGTTGGCCAGGCCGGTCTCAAACTCCTGACCTCAGGAGATCTATCCACCTCGGCCTCCCAAAGTGCTGGGATTACAGGCGTGAGCCACTGCACCCTGCCGATGTGAGGACTCTTGAGAGACATAGTTATAGGACAATTAAACTAATTACATGTTAAACCCATTCTAAGATTTGCATTTCTTCTTTTTTATGATACTCAAAAATGTATAGCACCTCAATTTCATTTAGCTTAAGCCGCCATTAAGTCTAGGATTAATCAGTTATCAGAATAAACATAAATACTCTCAGATGCTCAGCCTACACACTGAATCCCGCATCTCTGGTAATTGTGTCCATATCATGAATTTAGACCTATCAAAGCCTTGGTCTAGCAACATCAAAATCCATTTCCCACACATAATCTCTAGTTTTCCGCTGTTATAAATATATTTGCAAAAATCATTTAACCCATTTCATTTAAAAGCCTTTCCCCCTAAGTCTTGACATTGCAATTGTTGCCTGAGATATGCAGGAATCTGACTGGCTATGGATGTGGTAACAATAAAGTTAGTAAAGATACTGCAAGAGGAGAATCGTCATCACTTTGAGAGGAAGCTGCCTCAGACAAGCTGTTATAGGCCTTCAAATAAGGTAAAATCAACATCATCAGGCAAAGGAGGAGCTGCTTTAGCTGGCAAAAGAGACTTGGTAAGGTTCAAGGGTATAGAGTATGCATATATATTCAAATTCTCCTAAATGAAACCCTTTCAATGATGAGGTCTATCTCATTCCAAGGCAATGTTTTCAATTTTTTGAAAAACAAATGGTAAAACTGTAAATTCAACCTACCTTATAATTCAACAAACTGCAGCATCAGGCTTTCCATCTGATTTCCATCTAAATTAGTCTTGAGGCTACAAAAGATGAGAGCTTTTTCAAGAACAGTTGTAGAAATTCCTTGATTCTCAGACAGTTCCTAGAGCTAAGAATTTAAAATATTGAGCCTATCACTTTCTTTCTTTTAGTTCACAAGCACAATTTGGAAAAAAAGAAATACCAACCCACCCCAAAGTCCTTTTCTTCCTCATGCCCCCTATGCTTGTCTATCACAATAGTCATTCTGTCTTCCAAATCCTTGCCTTCAATAGCATTTCAGATAACCAGAAGTGATAATTTAAGTAATTGCTCACTCAGTGCCATAATAGCCTGTACATACAATAAAGTCTTATTTTTTATGTTCTATTGCCTGCAACCACTTCTGCTAATTACTTTATGACTCAGGGCTCCATTGCACACAACAGAATCCACGTTAACTAGTTTAAGCAGAAAGCATTTTACATAGGGAATTCAGTGCTTATATAAATTTGAACAGCTGGAGGAACTGGCTCCAGGCTAATCTCCCAGGACCAACTTCTAGCCCTTGGAAACATTCTGCCACTACTGTGAATGAAAAAGCAACCATCGCCAATGCAGGAAGATAATAAATCAGGAGTCTATTTGCACTATTGTTGACTGCAAAACCATACTAATTCTGATGTGACTGAAACACTGCCACCACTGTGACAGGAAGCATCTGGATCAGGAAACCATCTCCACATTAGGAGGTCACCACTTAATATGCTGGCTCCAGAACCATGTCACCTCTGCAGCAACCTGTGCCCCCACACTCTACCTCTGTCTGCTACATTTATTATTTTAATCAAAGTCTCATGCTATAATATTTCTAAGGAGTCTAGGAATATTGTTTCTGCTTTCCATTCTCAGCATACAAGAAGAGAGCTAGGATGAACGTTAGCCAAAATATCTTGTAGTATGCTTTTCACTGAGTATCAGAAACACTTCAAAAATCACAGTGATAGGCCTAACAAAGCCAGTATATCTTGCCATACTTTCTGTCCTGTGGATGATGGGAAGACAGGAAAATTTACTAAGCGCCATGGTTAGAGCCAATGACCCACATCCACAAACCATACTGTTGGGCAAACTGTACTGACATGCCTACAAAACCCATGGAGCTTTTAAAACAGATTTATTGAAGCATAATTGATATGCAATATACTATCCATATTAAAGTGTACAATGGGATGAGTGTTCATATCCATGAAAATACATACCAAGATCAAATAAACATATCTGTTAGCCTTAAAAGTTTTCCTGGGTTCCTTTGTAATCTGCCAATATGGAAGCTCTTTTTCATTTGACATCCCACCAAATTAGCCAACTCATTCTTAAATATGAAAATAAACCAATCCCCTCCCTATCCTTCTGCCAACAAAGCAGGATATGTTCTCAAATCCAAAAAGCTTATCTTCCAGTACAAAAGTTCCAGTTCACCCACAGATAACCCAGAAAAAGAAAAGCTCTTAGGTTGGGGCATGGCTCTAGTTCTCATCTTAACTCCCACAAAAAACAATATGACTAGACACATAATATAAACCACTGGCTCTTAAATGTGTATAGCAGAAAACTGATGTATAGCTAACATCACAAATATTCTTCCAAATTTGGATCAATGCAGCAATTTTTTTTTTTTTTTGAGACGGAGTCTCACTCTGTTGCCAGGCTGGAGTGCAGTGGCAAGATCTCAGCTCACTGCAACCTCCACCTCCAGGGTTCAAGCAATTCCCCTGCCTCAGCCTCCCAAGTAGCTGGGACTACAGGCAAACACCACCACGCCCAGCTAACTTTTGTATTTTTAGTAGAGAAAGGGTTTCACCATGTTGGTCAGGATGGTCTCTATTGCTTGACCTCATTATCTGCCCACTTCGGCCTCCCAAACTGCTGGGATTACAGACATGAGCCACCGCAGCCGGCTGGCAAAAGTTTTTATTTGGTACAACTGATAACACATACTATTAGCGGCAAAGTCTATCAGCAACTAAGATGAGAAGGTCATACAATACAGGTACAATTTGCAGCCAATGAGAAAGGAGATACAGGTGAGAGGAACCAAAAATAATTTTGTATTTACTAAAATAAACCAAAAAATCTCTGGTATTGAATATATGAAAAGGAATTCCAGGACAGTGAATACTTCTACTCAAACACCCATAGAACACTAAATACTACCAACATAACAGTAATCAATTTCAAGTACATTGCCCCAGAATTCTAGTATTTAGAAATGTGACAAGAACATAAATAGAAAGGGAACTACGTGGCATAGAGGGAGCAGGGAAACATATCTAAACCAATGATGCTCAGACTTCATATGCCTAAGAATCACGAGAAAGTTTTTTCTTTTGTTTTGTTTCATTTCATTTTGTTCTGTTTGTTGGCTCATTTGTTTAGACGGAGTTTTGCTCTGTCGCCAGGCTGGAGTGCAGTGGCGCGATCTCGGCTCACTGCAACTTCCGCCTCCCAGGTTCAGGCAATTCTCCTGCCTCAGCCTCCCAAGTAGTTGGGATTACAGGTGCCCGCCACCATGCCTGGCTAACTTTTTTGTGCTGTTAGTAGTGATGGTGTTTCACTATGTTGGGCAGGCTGGTCTTGAACCTCCGACCTCAGGTGATCTGCCCGCCTCAGCCTCCCAAAGTGTTGGGATTAAAGGCATGAGCCACTGTGCCTTCAAGGAGGTCTTTTCAAAATATAGATTGCTGGGTTTTATCCCAGAGATTCAAATTCAAGAGACCTGGGATGGGGGCTTAAGAATTTGCACTTCTAGTACATTGCCAGAAGATGCTCATGCTACTGTTTTGTGGACCACACTTTGAGAGCCACTGACTGAGTGTGAGTTCCAACTTAGTTCCTAGCAGTATTCAAATGGAAGTCAGAGAGGCAGGGAGGGCAGCCAAGAAATCTTGGCCAACAATATGGGTATGTAACATAACCAGAGAGAACTTTTTCTAAATAAATAGCAGAGGAAAAAGAAGAAAAGAAACATCAAACATATGGAAAAATTCTGTCCCCTTAAAGAAGAAAAAATAAAAGCATGGCATGAATGGTAGAAAAAGAGCACAATTCAGAGGAGATAATTTCACAATTAGATTTAGAAAATAACTAACCTCTAAAGAAATTTAGAAAAATCAAGAATGCTATAAAATGAGAGATGTAAGATGAGACAACATGACAACAAAATGAGATGAAAAGAGAACTGGGGAAGGAAAGGAAATAAATTAGAAAAAAAGAAACACTATGGGAGAACTTAACATTGTATTTGCAGCAGTGAAAAGCAGAGAAAAGACAGAGAAAACAAAATCCATAATGTAGAGGACAGACTTGAGTAAATCATACAGAAATAAAGAAGAGATGAGAAAAAAAATTAAATTGAAAAAGATGGATATGAAGTGAAAGCAACAGAGGTCCAATGTATAGCTAGTTGGCATGCCTAAAGAAAACAAAATAATTGGAAAATAAAACATTCTCAAACATGTTTTGCCAAAGTTAGATATCTGATTTGAAAATCCCTGCATATGGTCAAGAAGAATTATATATCATCTTGAAGAAATGGCAGTTCAAGGTTAACAAATACAAAACTACTAAGCAGAAGAATCATGTCACCTACATTCATATTACTGAAATTCTGCTATTGCCTTAGCTTCATCACAGCCTAGTTGAAAGAATTCATGTGGCTGGGTCATTCCCATCCTTCTCTTGTGAAGTCTAATGTTAAATAAAGTATCAGAAGTCTTTCCTGATCTTCCTCTATAAAGTAGATCATGGAATTACTATCACTGTACTCTAAGTATGTGTTTCTTGACAATTATTGTTGTTTTTGTTTTTGTTCAATGTATTCTATGGTTAATTATTAGTAACTTTCCACTAGAATTTAAGCTTCATAAAAAGAGAAACCCATATTTGCCTGGTTGACCACCGTGTTCCTAGCATTTGCTAGTGATTGGTACACGTTACGTAGTCAATAAATACATTAAATAAATGAATAAATATAAAGTTACTGTAATTAAAATCATATTGTAGACTGACAGATCAAACAGAATTAAAGAGCCTAGAATCAGACCCAAGTTTATATAGAAGTTCTGAATACATTAAAATGGCATTTAAGGCAGAAGAGGGGTATTCAGCACTTGGCACATTCATTGGCCATTTGTAAGAATAAATAAGTCTCAATCTCTTGTGTGAATGGCTTTTGAGAAATTCAAGGAATGGTGAATAAGTTGGCATGGAATCATAACTAAGTAAATAGAAAATCAGATGTTCATGAAGTCAGAAAATGCTATAAGATATAAGCCATCAGGAATTTGCAGATATCTTAGGAAAGGCTTCCAACAAAATAGAACAGAGGATTATGCAAATCTTATTTAATTCTGAAAGAAAATCTGACATCTGGGTTACATAAACACCGAAACAAGAATTGAAACAGAAAAAGATGAATAGTCTTTACTGTATATAAATTTAAGACTGTATTTAAAAAGTAATATCAGAAATAAGACTGAATAATAAATGGCAACCTAAATGAAAAGTTACAGCATATTTGGTAAACAATTGTTTCTAATATACAAATAATACTCATAAATCAATAAAAAGGTGAGAATTACTGAAAGATACAAAGAGGCAATTACACACACATCGCAACAAAGGAGCCTACTCTTCTACATATACAAGTATGTATGAAAGATACACATAATATATACACATATGAATGTATGAAACATATATATTATATATATACATATAATTTCAATTTTATTTTAGATTCACGGGGTACAAGTGCTGGTTTAACAACAAACCTTTCTTGATTCTGTATTCCATTGTATTCCATTCTAGCTTTCATCCCATTCCTCTCATCCCTTTTACAGAAAAAATAAAATAAAATAATTCATTGCCTATATCCTCTTGTCATTTTCTCACTTTTCTTTTCCAAACTCTCTCCTGTCAGACTTTCATTGACACCTCCTACCAAAACATTTTGCATGAACATTGTGAACTTTACATTATGAAATCCAGCAGTCAATTCTCAGTCCTCTTCCTATACGACTCTCCAGCACTATTTGACACATTGATCGTGCCCTTTTTCTCAAATATTCAATTTAGTTTTGAGATGCCATACCTTTCTCACCTTTCTCCTATCTCTTGCCTTTCCCCATCTGATCTCCAAATCACAGGCTCCTTTCTCAATGATCTTCTCTTTTCCCGGCTAAACTCACTCCCTATCTGGTTTATCTATTTCTACAGCTTTTGTTACCATCCAAATGTCAGTATCTCCAAATTTTCATCTCCAGACCTGACCCTGAATTCCAGGCTTGTATATTCAACAGCCAACTCAACATCTTCACAGAAAAATCTAATAGGCACCTGCTGCTTAATACTCAAAACGAATTTCTTATTTTCCACCTCCCATTTTCTTCCATGGTCTTCCCCAACTCTAAAACTAGCACCACCATTCACTGGGTATATAAGGTCAAACTATTGGAATCTTACTTGACTGCTTTCTCTCTAAGACTCCATATCCAATCCATCAGCAAATCCCAGTAGCTCTTCCTTTTAAGTATACTTGGAACCTGACAATGTTTCACCACTTCTGCTACTATCACCAGATCAAAGCCACCATCATCTCTTGCTTGAACTATTATTATGGCCTCCTAACTGTCCTTGTACTTTGAACATTTGCTCCTTCACACAGCAGCTAAGATGATCTTCCTAAAACACATGAGATAATGTCCCTCTTCTGCTCAAAAGCTTCTCATCCCTTCCCATTATATGTAGAAGCAAAACTAAAATCCTCACCATGCCCTTCAAGGATCCTAGCTACCTCTCTGTCTTCATCTTCTATCACTGTCTTCACATTCTATATTCCTGGATTTTTTAGAACCATCACTTAAGGTTGCAGTGAGCCGAGATAGCGCCACTGCACTCCAGCCTGGGTGACAGAGCAAGACTCTGTCTCAAAAAAAAAAAGAAAAAGAAAACATCAGTGTAGTTGCTGATCCTGCCATTTCCTCTGCTCAGAACAATCATCACCCAGATATTGGCTTGGCTCACTTGTTCACTGCTTGTAAATGTCAGTTAAGTGTCATCTCTTAACAGGCCTTCCATCACCCTACCAAACAGCATGTGCACACATCCCTCTACCCTGCTTTAATTTTCACATGCATTGGTACCAAACATTCTATTACGTGATGCTAGAATGTCAGCTTGAAAAGGGCAAGGACTTATGTTTGGGGAATTACCGAATCCTAGCATTTCCCATTCTTGGGGACATAAAATATGGTTGGCATGAGATAATTGCTTCATAAATATTTGATGAAAGACAGATAAATAAATGACTGTTTCCCTTGTTTCTTCACCTAAAATCAGCACCTCCAGGACACTTAGATTCCTTAAATAGCATTTAGAACTTTGAAAAAATTTCCACTCAGAATAAACTCGCCCTAATCACAGCCTATGAGGCACAAAAAGATCAACCTCCTCCTACTTCTGCAATCTTTTTTCCTTCCTATTTTTCTAACACTCTCTCTATTACTCAACCTATTTAAGACTCACTATCCATACTTTTGTTCTTGAAACATTCCCAGGTCATCCCAAATCAGTGTTTTATTCCTAATTCATATTGACTAAAGAATTGAATAGAACATTTCATAATAATAAATTATTCCTTTTTCTCTCAGTCTTTGTATATGAAAGAATGAAGTATGAGGACTTATAACCAATTCTGAGTTTTCTCACCTAGTACACATCACACACCTTACCTTACATAAGGTACCTAGTGAACTCCAAATTACAGTTTGGAGAAAATAAGAGTTATTGGACTCCTTGCAGTGAGGTCTATAGTCTAATCTAAACTCAAAGAACTCTGTTCGTCTTGCAATTTTCAAGCCAGAAAAAAAAAAATTGTTAGAATTTACCAAAAAGAAGGCACAAGGTAATCAAAGACTGCTTCTACTCAAACATTCAATGATAACCATGTAATCACAGAAGCATTAAAAAAAATCAGGAAATCTGAGTGAAACCGTTCTTGTGAAAAGGCATTTGAACATATGCACTGTCATATATGGAGCTGTCTGTTCATTGCAGCAGAGTCACAGCAATTTCTATAAATCATACTGACATACTTTGTTCTAGTCCAGCTTGCAAGATAGTTGCTTTCGCAAAACAAGTTGCAGGATGTAGTTAAATTACTTTTCTGACAAACAAAACAGCAAAAAGAAAACTTGCAAGGATGAATTCATATGAGATTGAAACGTGCTTGGAAGACCAAGAACTGAGAGATCACTGTGATTCCTAAGGGCACCATGATATGCCAAAATTGTTTTATGACACTTAACCATAATTGCAGCTAACCGCACTGTTGGGGCTCTTTCCTTGGCAGGATCAGAGGCTATGAATATGCGTGTGTATTTGTGTGTGTGTGTATAAATTAATTTTCTTGTGAAGATGTGATTGCTCCACCTGTTATAGTCTGTCTGCATCTTCAATTTCCATCAAGTGTTGCCAATTAGTTCACAAAACAGAAATGAGAGTAAAAAATTGAGGTGCAAAATGTCTGATTTATGGATGAAATTGGTTATGCCCAGTGATTTTTGTTGCTGCTTTAAATATTGTGGTATTAAATTGATTAAATAATTAAAGCTTTACAAACATGTCAGATGGAATTTCACATCAAATTTCAACTAGTGCCTTGGAAATGTCACATATTTTCTAATGCTGTTGGATTATTTACATTTCTGGAAGGTCACTTGTGGGTCTCACCTTCATGCAAGAAGCAGTTGTGGAAAAATAAAAGAGTTACCTCCCAGGAATTAGAAGTTCTGGATTTTGTTATTTATAAGCACCATGATCCTAAGAAAGCAATTCCTCTCTCTGAGATCTTTTTGTCACATCTAAGATAGAAATATTTGTTCTGCTTGTCTCCTGGGATTCTTTAAAGATTAAATAAGGTAAGTCATGTCATTCGATGTACAGTGTGAAAACTGTAAAGTACAAAACAAATTCATTAACATTATTATTTAAGATAAGTCACTATATCAGGAACTGGTTTGTAGTAATCATTAGAGAGCTGTTCAGCCCAGCTGATACCACTCAACACGTGCTGAGCATTTACCCTGGAAAGTACTTTAGGTTTTCAAAGATGACTAAAAGATTGTCTTCCTTCAAAAAGTTCACACTCTAAAGGAGACTACCTCATACATCTAAATCTGTAAATACACATGGCAATAAGTAAGTGCCAAACAAGGAATATCAGTATAAAGGTTGGGAGATGGAAAGTAAAAGATTTTACCGTGACTTTCAATGATGAGAGAAGTCTTGAGACTTGATAGAAGTTTTATTTATTGTTTTCTTTTTTAACGGCTTTTTGAGTTTGAGACTGAGGTTTTAGAGTAATCATGTTCCTTTTCTATTCCAAGTTCAAAGCCAACTGATAAGTAAATGCTGTTATCAAAAGATGCAGATTTTAAAAATCAGTTTTATTGAAGATAAGATTACATTATAGGATGCAATTTAGCCTATTACTATTATCATATTCCCTTAGGTAAACTTAGCACTCAGCTCTAGTAGATCTGCACAACTGCAAGCTTCCCCAGGGTGACAAGGCAGAATAGAACTTGTCCATCTGAGGACAGTCCACAAATGAGAGGAAACCTGAAGGAGCTGAACCAAGCCTGCTTAGACCTGTTTTCAAAATTCCTTAATCAGGTAACGATAGGGACAAGAGACAGGGATATACTGGGTAGAAAAGGGTAGTTCCCCGGCAAAGGCCCCCCACCCTCAAGCCTGAATTCTCGCAGCCCTAAATGAGAACAGGCATTTCTGTTTTCGTGCCCAAAAAGTTGCCTCTTGGCCCACCACACCCGCTATTTTGCCCCCATATAAACCCCGAACTCCAAGCTCCAGAGCAGACCACCACACCAGCGACGGCGGAATGATGCGGCAGAGAAAGAGAGAAGAGAGACGTCTGGATGCCGAGGGGAGTTCGGCAGGGCAGTTGGAGAAGAGTCAGGCTGCTAGGCGGCCCGACTCCAGGGGAACACGGCCTTCTCACCTAATCCCTTCTTCCGGCTCCCCATCCATCTCACTGAGAGCCACCTCCACTACTCAATAAAAGCTTGCACTCATTCTTCCAGCCCACGTATGATCCAATTCTTGCGGGACACTGGGCAACAGCTCAGGGTACAGAAGGCTGTCACACTGGCCCTCTGCCCTTGCGATAAGGCAGAGGGTCAGTTGAGCTGATTAACACTGAAGCTGTCTGCAGACGGCAAAGCTGAAAGAGCTTTGTAACATGGAAGTTGCAGACACCCACCCCTAGACACTACCGCGGAGCAGGAGCGCTTGCCTCTGCACCAGCCCGTCTGCGTGCTCCCCCTTCCTCAAGGGGTTTGAGCTGCAGAGCAACCAAACACTTTTCCATTGACCAAATTTTCTGTGTATTTAAATCTGTTATTCACCACTCTCTTCTGACCCATTAATTTAGTTCTACCCAATCTTAAATATATTCATATCTGGAAAAATTAGCCTCTCCGTGCTATTTTGTTATGCCTTGAAAAATAATTAGAAGTAAGAGATGGAAATTCAGATGGGCGAGGTAGCATAAGTAAAAATAAGAGGTGAACCTGGACATTACATACTTGGGGAAAAATGAATAGTCCAAATTTGCTACAGAAGAGAGTTTCTGCAAGCTTATTAATACAGTCTAAGAGTAAAGAAACAAGGACAATGTTGACAACTGAACACATCTCCTCAAGTATTTAAACAAGACAAGGAATTTAGTTTCTCAGTGAAGGCTAGCCAGTTATAACTAATACATGGGTATGCGTCACTCCTAAACATATACTTTCCTCAAGGAGATCACTCTTAAATACCTTTAATAGCACATGGTCCTTATTTTAGATCTTTTAAATTATTTTCTTATTATCGTGACACATTTCTAGAAGTGAGAAATGCCTAGTAGGAGATAAGAATTTTAAAATAAGAGTAGCACCAGGAATATCTTTAGAGGAAATTAGGAAATTTTAAAATAGAAAAAGTTTACTTTTAGGAATCTCTACTTTAACTCCCAAAACCTATGAAGGAACAGGTCTTAGTTTTAATAAAAATTATGTTTTATTGTGTTTTTTGTTTAAGATATTTGGGCACTATGTGCACTGGGAGAAAAGCTGAGAAATTCTAGAACTGGGAAGAATTAGTTATCAGGACTAGAAAACTAACCATACCTTTGCTACCCAAATGATCTGAAGACTGAAAGAGGTTTTCATAAAGAAAACAAAATGAAATGGGTTATACAGAAAGGACTCGGTCTTTGAAGGAGTCAGCTTTTGACCATGAAATAGAATTGGTGTCACGAAAACAGAATTTTTTTAAAAGATAATATTTTACTTTCAAGCCCTAATGATTAAGCCCTCATTAGAATCTAGCCAGGCACTAGCTTAGAACCATCTATGAAACTTCAAGGGACAAGAGACGTATCGTAGGAAAACAATTCAGGATGTGTATTAAGACCAAGCTACTCTGGTGGCTACTGTAGCATTTTTGTAGTGTTGTGAAGAAATTAAAACTCCAAAAACAAAGAGAGGTTGAATAAACCAGGGTTCTTCCTCAAGATGGAATCTAAGACATAATTTTAAATGAAACAAGTCTGAATGGTGGTATGCGGATCTGTGGACCTTCTTCCCAAAACAACCATCACTAGAGAATATTATATTTCCAAAAAAAGCAACAACAATTTAAAGTCTCTGGAAATTGTCCTAAGGGCATATAGCAAATGGAGAAATACTTATGCAAGAAAATACAATAAATCTCAGTAAGAACAGCTTAGTGTGATGGAAACTCTACTTGGGGCAGGTGCAGCTGAGAAGACAGGGCTCCTTCTTTCCCAGCTCCCAAGCCAGGGTGATGATTTCTCCCTGGAAGGGGCAGTCTGTCCATATTTATCAAGCCCACCTTCATCCCCTAACCTGTGTTGTAGAAACTCTCTTCCAAGTAGACATGGCAGAGAAGTCTGGGACTCCCCTCCTCCACCAGCTCCTGGCAGAGCAGAAGCTCTGCTACAGGCATGACAGGCTGAGAATACTGGGCTCCAATCACCCTATCCCTGGCCCTCCCATGAGATAGATGTTACACACCAAGAGGGGAAAGCTGAGAACACCAGACACTACTACATATCCCCAATGCCCACTCACAGAACAGCATTGTTATTCTGAGAGAAGTGGGCTATTGTTCCTGACTCTAGCTCCAGCAGAGTAGCATGGATATTCTACCCACTGAGAAAGTCAGGCCATTCAGACAGAGGGCTCTATAGCTCTCTCCAAGACTCAATTTGGAACAAAGAAGATGAATTCAAGCCCAGGGACTTCATGGAAAACAATGAAAATTTGATGGTGAACATTTACAAGGAGGCTAGTAGCTTATGATAGCCACAAGTAACACACGAGACATCTCCCCTGCCCAGAAGTTTAAAAGAGAGAACCAGGGAAAGAGAAACTTAAAACTCACCTGGAGTCAGAGAAAATTTCAAAGAGTGCTTGGCAAAATGATATGACTTTAATTGGATTAGACTTTGGAGCAAGTTATACCCCTAGGACATTGTCAAAAACAATAGCACAATCAGCTAGCAATCAGTAGAAGCTAAGAGCTGGGTGGGATACCAATAGAGACAAAGCAGCCAGAACTTTAAAGGATGGGTGGGTTGCAGGGGAGGGGGTTCAAAGAAAGAGACAGAGTCTGGCAAAAAACACTGACCCACTGTGAGTCCTACCATGGCCCCTAAAAAGTCAACCTCTTCTGAGGTGTGTGTCCTCCCTAGAAGCAATGAATTCCTCCTCTCCTCACTATTTATCTCCTGATTGAGCTATCATTCCAGAAACTCATCTTTGAGGCATGACAAGATGCCATAGGTGAACAGTTGCTAGTAAAATTAGAACCTTGAACTACTGGCACTAGGAACCCGGCCCACTCCTTAAAAGCAGTGTTAATCTGTCCAATCTATAGTTACAAAAGTGGGTGATAAACTTAAGTTTCGATAAATTCATCATCTGTAACAAAGAAGGTTCAATCTGGTAATTGAACACGGTGGCAGAAGTAAACTAGCAAAAACACCTGAAAGGTATTTGGGTATGGTGTTGGGTTTCTTCTACTATATTGGCATCTGAACCCAATCCAGTAATTCAAGAAATAGGATCTAGTTCATCCCTAACCCTCTACTTATACACACACACATCATAGCCACCACTACCATCATGACCAAGGAGAGACTAAAAAGAACCAAGTAGGATGATACATGATTCCTGCCAAAGGGGTCAGAACAATAGTCTAGCCTCAAAAAAAAATGGCCCAATGCTGAAAAGGAAACTGAGACAGAGGCCTACTTAGCCCATTTAATATGGGAAATGCAGGTAAATAATTCTCAGCATGCCAGAGACATCCTCATAATCTGCTCCTGCTACTCCAGCATTACCTCTCGCCAGCCTGTACCCCAAATCTAACAGACATCCTAGAGCTAAGCATGAACCATATTCATAATTCCCTGAACACAGAGTGCTCTCTCCCTTTTGTTTCCCTGCATGAACAAATCCCTTCTTAGAAGGCCTTTCCCTCCTTCCTCCTACTCCTCTCATCTGGCCAATTCCTAATTGCCATTGAAACTCTATTAAAGCTTCACTTTCTCCAAAAGTCTTTCCTAACACTGTTGAAATGGGAGAGTTCCCTGATCCCTGTCACAAGATGTGCAAGAGGGATGTGGTTCATCTGTTTGGTCGCCCCACTGCTCAAATCCCTAGTGGGAGCGGGAGCATGCAGATGGGCAGGTGCAGAGGCCAGGACAAGTACTTCGGGCTCTCAGCCCCACAGTAGTGTCTAGGGGTGGGTGCCTGCAACCCCAGGGCTACAAAGCTCTTTCAACTTTGCTGTCCACAGACAGCTTGAGTGTTAATCAGCTTAGTGGACCTTCTGCCTTTTCACAAGGGCAGAGGGCCAGTATGACATTTTTCTGTATCCCAATTTCTTCCCCAGCATCCCAGAAAAATCGGGTCACACACAGGCTTGAGGATGAATGCAAGGTTTTATTGAGTGGTGAAGTGGCTCTTGGTGAGATGAATGGGGAGCTGGAAAGGGGAGTGGAGTGGGAAGATGATCTTCCCCTGGAGTCTGGTCGCCCAGCAGCCTGACTCTTCCCTGACCGTCCCCTACTGAAATCCTCTTGGCATCCAGATATTCCTCATCTTCTCTTTGTCTCTCCCTTGTCATTCTGCCATCCATCTGCTGGTCTGCTAGTCTGCTGGTCTGCTGCTGGAGCCTGGGGTTTGGGGGCTTATATGGGTGCAGGGTAGGGAGCATGGTGGGCCAAAAGGCATCTTTTGGGGCATGAAAACAGGAGTGCCTGTTCTCATTTAGTGCCATGGGCACCCAGGCTTGAAGGTGGGGCCTTTGCAGGGGACCACCCTCTTCTACCTGGTATTTCCCTATCTCCTGTTCATATCACTATTAGGGTAGAAGAGATCCACGTTACCCTAAGTCACTGGCGGTGTATCCGTGCAGGTCTGTAGCAGCTTCAGCCCTTGCCTCCTTAGAAGAAGGATTCAACTGAGGGGCAGAAAGCCAAAAAGAGACTGAGGCATATTACAGAGCAGAAGTGGAAGTTTATTTAAAAGGCTTTAGAATAGGAAAGAAAAAAAAGAACCCATGGAAGAGATCCAAGTGAGCACCTGAAGGTCAAAGAGAGAGAAAAGGGCCTTTAACCTTGATCCTGGGACTTTACAGGCTTACCTCTTTCCTGTGATTCTTCCTTTATGGTGGACTTCCCGCATGTGCCGTGTCCTTTTTACCCTTCAGAATTGAGCAGGTGCAATGTGTTTAGGAAATTGTATGCATGCCCATTTGAAGATTTCTTTTTTTTTTTCTGATGGAGTGTACCCAGAAGATCATACTTTGCCATTTTTGTCTCTTAACGTGCATGCCCAGGAAATTTCTTCTCCCTGGGGCCTGCCTTTAATTAACACTTTAATATTAACAGGTGTGGACCATCAGGAACTAGCCTCTCCCTGGCACCAGCTGCCAATTTATCACTCTTAAAGAGGAATGTGATAATTGCCAAACCATCACCTGTCATTTCTAGTGGGTAGGGGAAAGCCCTCTCCTGCCCCGCGCAAGCCTAACTACCTGTAAAAATACCCCCACTCTGATTTGGAGGTTTATCTTACATACTCCCTTGGCACCCAGAGCCTCCTTCTACTGTACTACCTACATTATAGCAAGTCATGTTGTATTGATATTTATGACTGTAAACTCATTGAAGACAAGAATCATTATTTTTAGTCTTCTTATCTGAAATACTTGGCATAGTGCCAGGCATAGAGAGACTCAACAAATATGAGTGAGTGAAGATTGCAGCTTCAGAGGCACAAAATTGCTATAATAAAAAGCCAAGTCATCCTAAGAGAAGAAACCGTAACCACAAAAATAATTCCAGAACCCCTTGGTGGTCATTCTGAGACTTCAAGAGCATTGTCTACCTTGTTCAGGACTAGCTAATGAATGGATGGAGCTAAGCCCACAGGTCACAAAAGACTTTCTCTGTGGCTATCGGGGCAGTGAAAAATTGGGGTCTCATAGCATGAGTCCCTGGTAAACTAAGATAAAATAATGCTATCATGTTTGCATTTTTAAAAGACCTCTTGGATAGTGTCTTAACTCAAAGGAATGATTTTGTAGTGGAATATCAGGCTTTAGAGTAGTCAGGGGGAAAAAATAGCATTTTATTCATAGAAACTTTCCTTGAGGGCCTGCTCAAGACTCACCTCATAGGTGTGACTACCTATTTAGGGTTGCCAGATAAAATACAAGGTGCCTTATATCTTCATATAAGCAGGTCCCAAGTATTAAATGGGATGTACTAATACTTTTTTTAAAAATCATTTTTTGTTTCTCTGAAATCTGAATTTAACTTGGCATCCTATAATCTTTTTGGTGAGAAAAAATTAAAACTTTTAAAAAAGCAGAACTATTACATTATAGGAGTTTTCTGATTGTTTTCAGCTTAGCCCTTTATATCAGCAGTTACTACTCCTTCCTCACCCTCTCCCCAGATTTGTTTTCAGAACATTTATGTTCTGCTCAATGAGCTACACTATTTTTATTGGCTGTTGTGCCAAAACTCAGTTGAAATAACAATCTCAGCATATACCTGAGAAAATCATGCACAGGGAAAACAGACAACAGAGAACTCCCAGACTAATTACTAGGCTATGCCATCCAGCTCCTTAACATACTCTGCCACTCATATTATGGCTGCTCTAGTCACAATAAAAATAATTATATCCTCAATAAATAAGACTATTTCTCAAAATAGTGTTGACAAAGGAAGGCAAACTCTGTAAGATATTTGAAGAGATTTATTCTGAGCCAAAATTTAGTAATCATGGCTCATGACACAGCCCCAGGAGATCCTGAGAACATGTGCCCAAGGTAGTCAGGCTACAGCTTGGTTTTATACATTTTAGGGAGACATAAGATAACAATCAATACATATAAGATATACATTGGTTTTGTCGGGAAAAGTGAAACAACTGGAAGTGGAGGTGAGGGTAGGGGGTGGATTCCAAGTCTTAGGTGGCTTTGAAGATTCTCTGATTTGTAATTGATAAAGAGTTTATCTACAAACCTAGAGTCACTACAAGGGAGTGTCTGAGTTAAAATAGGGGCTGTGGGGACCAAGGTTCTTGTTATGCAGATGAAGTCTTCAGAGAAAATAGACTATATGTATGTATTCTTCAGAGAGAATAGAATGTTTCTTGCTAGACTTTAAAAGGTGCCAGACTCTTTATTAATTCTCTCCTGGATCAGGAAAAAGACTTGGAAAGGGAAGAGAATTCTCTACAGAACATAGGCTTTCCCCACAAGAGACAGCTTTGCAAGGCCATTTCAAAATATGTCAAAGAAATATATTTTGAGCTAAAATGCTTTGATCTCTTTCAGAGCCTGCTATCTGTCACACTGGTATGTTATTGCTATGAAAAGTCTGTTTTGTAAGTCTTAAAGTTTGTTTTAATGTTAACACTGGTCAGCTATGCCTGAATTCCAAAGGAAGGAAGATAATAGTGAATCCTATCCAACCACTCATTCCCATCATGACCAGAACTAGTGTTTCAGGTTTACTTTAGAATGCCCTTGACCGAGAAGAGGGGTCCATTCAGTTGGTTGGGGGGCTTAGAATTTTATTTTTGATTTACAATAGGGTAATTTTATTTTCGATACAAAATTGACCCAGCAGTACTTTAGAATGCACAGTGCTGTTGATCTCAATGTCAGCTTACTTGGCGCAAAGTACAGAGAATTCTATTTTCCTGTTCAGCATCACTACCACCTGTGTCATTCCTAACGTTCCTTCTCTGTAAAAATTAAATCTCCTGCTTTGGCTGAACACATTTATTTCTATTCATAATGGCTACACATGCACACCGAGGAGGATTCAATAATCCCCAGCTCTCCGCTAGTGAGGTTTTCTGACTTTCTTCAGATGTATTTTACATAAAACATATACTTCGATATTTTATACCCCTATTAACATTAAAGTCATGCAAGTATGACTATTATAATCTTTCTAAAGTTTTTATTATTATAAAATTTGTCAAAATTTACATGTTGTCTGAAAAAAATTGGTAAATTTACCCTTAAAAGCCATTTTACTACATTAAAAAAAAAATCAGTTCTGCCATTTAAAATTTGGTGGTGGATGCAGAAATATTGCCAGAATTTTCATTTGTATTTCTTCCTTTTACACTCAACTCTGCTAGTTATAGTAATTTTAAATGTTCCTTTAAAAAGAACACCTCAACTTCACTGGAGAGCCAAATCCTAATATGTTACCAGGTACATCAAGGATTGTTTCAAAATCACCATGGTAACCCCTAGTTAGGGAGGCTATGCTCACACAATCCATTCTCTTTCTGAAGTAAATCTACTGCTCATCATTTGGTTTTGTTGAGATACCCCTTTTTCATAGAGCAGAAATGAGTTTCAACACAGTCTTGCTTCCCACAGCCAAGTTCATGTGCTGCTTTTTGCATAACTTCACTATACCTTAAAGTGTTGAGGACACCCTCCCTCTGTTTCGGGGTCAATGAAAATGGAAATGTCCACCAGGGAAGTCTGGATAGTTCACAACAATGTTGGGGCACTGATGAGTGTCCCTTCTGCCAGATGACCTACAAGCACTGGACAGAGGAATATCTTCCCCAGAAAATGTGGAATATGGCAACAACTCCTCAGAGAATCTCATAATCAAATTATAATGTCATTGACCTCAACTTGCACACAATTATCTGATGTTATTAATAGCAGTAGATTGGGCTGGACAGTTTTCCAAGCTGGAACTGATCCTCTCCATGAGATCCACCTACATCTCTTCTGGTATCAGGCCCCATATACCTACTTCGGCTGCATACCTTGTTTCCTCTCTTTCTGCCTCCCCGATCAAAATAGCCTTGGGTTTTCCCACTTTCACTTATTCTCAAACCTTCACTGAACATTAGAAAAATCCAGAGATTTTTATTTGTTACTTTGTTTTGTTTTGGTTTGGTTTTGGTTTTTGGGTTTTTTTGAAACGGAGTCTGGCTCTGTCACCAGGCTGGAGTGCCATGGCGCGATCTCGACTCACTGCAACCGCCGCCTCCTGGGTTCAAGCGATTTCCCTGCCTCAGCCTCCGGAGTAGCTGGGACTACAGGCGCACGCCACCACGTGCGGCTAATTTTTTGTGTTTTAGTAGAGACAGGGTTTCACCACGTTTGCCAGGATGGTCTCAGTCTCCTGACCTCATGATGCGCCCCCCTCGGCCTCCCAAAGTGCTGGGATTACAGGCGTGAACCACCGCACTTGCCCTGTTTTTGTTTTTAAATACCAATGTTCAGTGACCATTCTGAGATACTCTAATTTCATCAGCCTGGGTCGAGGCCCAGGAATTGGCATTTTAATAGCTCTTCCAGGTGATTCTATGTTCAGCCAGGGTTCCGAAGTACTGCCATTTTCACTTTCTTACCCATTGTTCTAGTTTAAACTATATGTCACGCTTCTTTCAAGGTCTTTCCCTTGGAATCTCAAGGTGCTTTTCTTAGCTTTTACAGAACTTGGCTCTTGAAAATAGAAAGCTTTGACTTTCGAAACTACTGTTTCTCATGTGGATCTCAAGGACCTATTTGGGAAGTCACAAAGCGAACAATGGCTGTTTCCTTCTTTTTGCCTGCCTGCTATCACAATCCTAATTCTCCTGAAGGAGAATAGTTCTAACTGATCAGGAAATGGTCACATACTATGAAGAGCAGCAAAGAAAAGCACAAAAATGAATATTTCAAAGTATGATCTCACCATATTTACTCCCTTTCTTAGCTTCTCTTTCCTCAAAGCTCTCTTCTGTTGAACGGAGATTTCCTTGTTGATATTCCTCGCCGCAATCATTATGAGGTTGGAAGGGCATTAGTGGTTCTCTCTAAAGGACAAGTAAAATGGCCAGAACCACAGGGCTTATTTACAAACCTTGAGGCTCTCAGCCCCAGTCTGGTAGTACAAGGATCCCTGAAAAGAAAATGGAAACATTATTAATAGCATATAGGGGATCCTTGAAGTGCCAGACTAAGCCTGAGAACCTCAAGGATTCAAAAAATAATCCCTATGGTTCTGGTCATTTCACTCATCCTTTGAAGAGAACCTATGACTGATCTTACCTATGCAATTGCCCACAGTGAGCCTAACTAGAATTAGAATCTGTCTCACACATGGATCTATCCAAAATGCCCTGTTTCACAAGCTTGGGGTCCAAAATAAGCCATTTCTCCTAGGACAGGCAATGTAAATGACTCTCAGTCCTCCACTTGCTACCTTGAGAATGTCTTCCTATTCTTTTTAAAGGGCACCGTTCCCAGAGAGGAAATGGAAAATCTGTTCTGTTTCACTCACTGTTGCTGGGATGTTGCCCTATGATGTCACAGTGGATAACAGGTGGTCCAGAAACCTGTTGCAGAGACCAAAGTACACACTGCTGTCACAAGCATGACAATGTTTTCTTAGGGTGCAGGAAGAGGAAGCTTCTTCCCACAAATGTTACCATCAGCTAGCAACCATGCCGGAGAACACGCTGCAGCAGGTGCGGGTTTTGCCATGATCATATGCCATAAAAATCAGGTGCTGGGAAATTTCTCCTCCATACAACTACTACCCTCCTAGCCATCACGAGGAACTTGTCAGCATTATAGCTTGCTAGTGGCACAGTGCTCTCAAATGAGACACACAGGAAGCCATTTTCCTTAGAATATAACCACACACCAGGCTACTGGGGGAAGGAGTTTTGAGCTTCAGCCACATTCATGTCCAGACCAGCCTTCCCCTGCAACTTTAGAGAAGGAATGTTGTTGTCTTTGGGCTAAAAAGCCAGTCATTATTTCTTTCTGAACTGTCTCATAGGACTGGATCTTGATTATGTGGCTAAAACAAGAAATTGCTTCTTCCATTATTGGTTTCCAAGAAAGAAAAAGAATAATAATCATGCAGATTCAATGATAGCATTCACTTCAAATCTGCCTTCAGAGATCCTTTATATATATATATATATATCTCCTATTGTTCTAGTTTAAACTATATGTCACATTTCTTTCAAGATCTTTCCTTTGGAATCTCAAGGTGCTTTTCTTATCTTTTACAGAACTTCCATACAAAGTACACACATATATATATATATATCCTATTACATATATATATGTATGAGTTTAGTAAGGAGTATTAAACTCACACAATCACAAGGTCCCACAATAGGCCACCTTCAAGCTGAGGAGCAAGGAAGCCAGTCCAAGTCCCAAAGCTGAAGAATTTGTCCAGTATTCAAGGGCAGCAAGCATCCAGCATAAGAGAAAGATGTAGGCTTGGAGGTTAAGCCAGTTCAGCCTTTTCACGTTTTTCCTGCCTGCTTTGTATCCTGGCTGCTCTGGCAGCTGATTAGATAGTGCCCACCCATATTAAGGGTGGGTCTGCCTTTCTCAGCCCATTGACTCAAATGTTAATCTCCTTTGGCAACACCTTAACAGACACACCCAGGATCAATACTTAGCATCCTTCAATCCAATCAAGTTGACACTCTGTATTAACCATCATAAGGCCACCCCTTGACAACTTCAACCCATACACAATCTTCAGATAAAGACAATAGTAATTACACCTCACATAACACAACTATCCTTCATATAAATACCTTCATTTCATTTGCTTTTTCCTTTATCATGTGACATAAGATTTATTGACTTCATATCACATTTAAGTGTTGTTAACAAGTGATACATGCACAAACATGTTCTTAACAAAAGGAGGAGGAAATACTCATGACAATTACAGTCCCTATTTCTGCAACTGGTCATGTGGTCGTAGCTGGTATTGATGACTACCTTCTTCTACTACCCATTCTGTATTCCCTTTGCCTTCAGGAAGCACCTCAGCAGGTCACAGTTCTTTTCCTGGTGGAGTGACCCAAACCTTCATTCCTGAAGGGTCTGGACCATTTGTATTCAGACCTGAATTAGTCTGTTGTAGTTTCCCATTGACCTTAATCATAAGGCATGATAATACTAAGAGGTACCCTAATGGATCTCCTGTATTCTATGCATACTCTTGTTTACCTCCATTGTGGAGTAGGAGACTGATTTCATCTTGACAGCCGGCCAACTCTGTAACTCCCTTCTTAGCCTGTTGACTTAAAGGTAGGAGGAGCCCAAAGTGTCCTGGTGGCAATCTTAACTTCCAGTTTAATGGAATTGTTGTTGTGTCTCCTGGTGGCAGCATTCCTCCCTCTGGAACTAAGACCTCTAGGCCAGCAGAATGTAATGTTGTGGGAACAGGAAGCAAAAATTTTGCTAGTGGATCACTAGGAGTGATGGTGAGTGGTACCACTTCCACCCCATGATTCCTGGACCTGTGATTCCTGGCTATGAGAGAAACACTAAAATATCTTGAATGCTGATTCAGAGCATGCATGGCCTCCTAGAGAACTTTGCCCAAGCCCTGCAAAATATTGTCACCAGTTGGCATTGTAATTGTGACTTCAAAAGGCCATTCCACTGTTCAATTCAGATGCTTCAGGATGATGGGGAACATGGTAAAACTGGTGAATTCCACGAGCATGAGCCCACTGCTGCACTTCTTTAGCCATAAAGTGAATTTCTTGGTCAGAGGCAGTGCTGTGTGGAATACCATGATGGTGCATAAGGCATTCCGTGAGTCCATGGATCATACTTTTGGCAGAAGCATTGTGAGCAGGACAGGCAAACCCATATCTGGAGTAAGTGTCTATTCCAGTGAGGACAAACCTCTGCCCTTTCCGATATAATCATCCTGCTACCAGGTAGTTGGCTGGTCACCCCAAGTAATGGTGCCATATTGAGGGCTCAGTGTTGGTCTCTGCTACTGGCAAATTGGTACTCAGCAGTGGCCATAGCCAGGTCAGCCTTGATGAGTGGAAGTCCATATTGCTAAGCCCATGCATAACCTCCATTCCTGTCACCATGGCCACCTTGTTCATGGGCCCATTGGGCAATGACAGAGGTGGCTGGGGAAAGAAGCTGAGTGGTGTTCACAGAATGAGTCATCCTATCCAGTTGATTATTAAAATACTCCTCTTCAGAGTTCATCCTTTGGTGAGCACTCACATAAGACACAAATATCTTCACTTCTACCAAAGCCCTGTAACAGGCCAAGAGCTGTCTCTCAAAAGGAGAATAGTTATCTGCAGAAGATGGCAGGGCCTTGCTCCAAAATCCTAGAGGTCTCCACTGTGATTCACTTGTAGGGGCCTGCCAAACACTCCAAACAGCATCCCTATCTGCCACTGACACCTCAAGCACCATTGGATCTGCTAGGTCATATGGCCTAAGTGGCAGAGCAGCTTGCACAGCAGCCTGGACCTGTTGCAGAGCCTTCTGTTCTGGACCCCACTCAAAACCAGCAGTCTTTCAGGTCACTTGATAAATGGGCTGGAGTAACACACCCAAATGAAGAACATGTTGCCTCCAAAATCCAAATAGGCTCACTAGGTGTTGTGCCTCTTTCTTGGTTGTAGGAGGGGCCAAATGTAGCAACTTATCCTTCATCTTAAAAGGAATGTCTTAACAGGCCCCACACCACTGGACCCCAAGGAATTTTACTGAGGTAGAAGGTCCCTGAACTTTAGTCAGGTTTAATTTCCATCCTCTGGCACACAAATGTCTCACCAATAAGTCTAGTGTGTTTGCCACTTCTTGCTCACTGGATCCAATCAGCATATCATCAATGTAATGGATCAGTGTGATATCTTGCAGAAGTGAAGAGTGATCAAGGTCTCTCCGAATAAGATTATGACACAAAGCTGGAGAGTTTATATACCCCTGAGATGGCACAGTAAAGGTATGTTGCTGACCTTGCCAGCTGAAGGCAAATTGCTTCTGGTGGGCCTTATGGAGAGAAATGGAGAAAAAGGCATTTGCCAAATCAATGGCTGCATACCAGGTGTCAGGAAATGTGTTAATTTCCTCAAGCAATGAAATTATATCTGGTACAGCAGCTGCAATTGGAGTCACCACTTGGTTAAGCTTACGATAATCCACTGCCCTTCTCCAAGATCCATGTGTCTTCTGCACAGGCCAAATAGGAGAGTTGAATGGGATGTGGTGGGAATCACCACCCCTGCATCTTTCAAACCTTGATGGAGGCACTAATCTCCACAGTTCCTCCAGGGATGTAATATTGTTTTTGATGTACTACTTTTCTAGGTAGAGGCAGCTCTAATGGCTTCCGTTTGGCCTTTCTCACCATAATAGCCCTCACCCTACCAGTCAGGGAGCCAATGTGGGGATTCTGCCAGTTGCTAAGTATATCTATGCCAATTATGCATCCTGGCACTGAGGAAATGACCACAGGATGAGTTTGGGGACCCACTGGATCCACTGTAAGTTGGACCTGAGCTAAAACTCCATTAATTACCTGACTTCCCTAAGCCCCTACTTTAACTGGAGGACCACAATGACATTTTGGGTCCCATGGAATCAACGTCAGCTCAGAGTCAGTGTCCAGTAGTCCCAAAGTGTCTGATCATTTCCCTTTCCCCAATGCACAGTTACCCTGGTAAAAGGCTGGAGGTCTTCTTGGGGAAGGATGGGAGAATTATTCACTGCATAAATTGTTGGGAGTGTAGTGGTGTCCTTCCTCAAGGTGATCTGGCCTCCCCTTCATTCAAGGGGTTCTGGGTCTGTAAACTGGCTCAAGTCTGGAAATTGATAGAGGGATCATGATTCTCTGTTTTTATCATTCAAATTAGTCTTTTATCCATTTGACCTGTAAGTATTCTGCTTATATAAATTAAGTAGAAATGCAGTAGGCTTCCTATCAATTTCACTTCTAGGGACACCATGATTAATTAGCCAATACCAGAGCTCTACACAAGTCAGACTATTCTGATTGCTGTTTTGCCTCTGCTGTACATTACGGTAGCTACACGCACCTTGTCTTTGATTGTTGAGTGCCACCACTTGGCCCATGCCACCTTGGGATCCAATTATTCCCATTGTATTTACATTTTGTAGTTGAGTGACTGTGTTTCCCACTGTTAGATCTGACATGCAGAGAAGAGCAATTACAGGGCTCTTCAAAGATGCAGGTGCTGCCCTCACAAATCACACGGCATTAGTCAAGTGTATATCTTCTGGACCCTCCCAGCTTGGATGAGTAGGTCTAAAATGACTAATCCATTCCACTATCCCAATCTCCCTAAGCCTTTGGATCCCTTCCTCTACATTAACCCAGGGGAAATCAGGCATTTCCAGCTTGCTCACAGTAGGCCATCTTTTAATCTATATTTCAGCTAACCATGTAAATAAACTATTAGAACCTTTTTTAACTCCCTG